TTTATATTAAGTTTGTATTATTTTTCTCTGTATAAATAATTATTTTTTTTATTTTCAAGGGAAAATTAAAAACCCAGAATTTGAAAAAAAAAAATCTGGATTTTATTATAAAATTTAAATTTCTAAAAGGAAACATATTGAATGGTCTATGGCTTAGAAACTTTTAAATAATTTTGGTAAACAGATAGCAGAATTCAACTTTTGCACATCAGACTGAATTGTAATCATTATGTAAGCAAATGGGATAAAAAGGTTGCAAAACATTAAATCTATTCTTGAAACATATTGTTATGATGTTATTGTTATGAGATCAATGACAAAACAATTATTTTAAAGGTACTTGGACACAGATTTGAAGTTAATATTTTCTGTATAATATCACGAATTTTACATTTTAATAGCAGTTCACACAGAAATTAATTAAAAATCTTATTTCATTTAAAACTTCTTCAAACTTCAATTTTTTTGGTTTGATTGACACATCATTACACTTTCACTCATTTTAACTTTATTTTTAATCCTTCTGAAAAGTGGAAATATTGTTGTGTGTAAATGAGAAAATGTTATAAGTTTAATTCAGAAAAATAATTTTATTCGGAGTAGAAATGTTAGAAAGCAAAACTCCTTCACAAATCACAAGTATCGATTCCGAGCATAGTTTACATCACAAGGAGGGTCAGAGCTAGCCATATAATTATGTACATCGCTAGGGAGGCCAGAGGTCACCTTATAAGTACATCAATGGGGGACCAGAGGTCACCTTGTATGTACATGTACATCAACAGGGAATTGGTGGTCACCTGATTTGTACATCAAAAGGGGGACTAGGAGTCACATTATATTGTACTTAGAATAAAAGCTGTTTTTTTTTATATATTCAGCAGTAGGTAGCCAGCGGTCACCTAATTTTATTCAACACAAAAGGGGGGGGGCAGATGTCATCTTATATTTAAGGGATGAATTAAATAGCAACCCAAATTATCCTGATTGGGGCAGTTTACGATTTATAAACCGCGAAGCGGTTTGAAAAAACCTACTAAACTGCTCCTACCAAGGTTATAGCAGTATAATTTGGGTTGCTTTATAATTCATTCCTTACAAGTTAATTTTCAATCATTAAGTATATAAAACAAGACAATTTCTCTCTTTAAAACACCTTCAAATTGTTCATATTTCAAACGTAATGTCAAGCGGATTGATACGATTTTGACAAAAGTCATTGTGATGTTGGGAAACCAGATCATACAATTTAGATTAATTTTTTATCTATTCCAATGACGCAATACAACCAAAAACTTTATAGACATTAATAGATGGTCCATATGTCACCTTATATTGTACATTCATAAGAACCAGAGGTCACCTTATATGAACATCAATAGGGGACCAGTGGTCAACCTATATTTACATCAAAATGGGGGACCAGAGGTCCACCTTATATTGTAAATCAATAGGTAGACCAGGTGTCACTTATTGCATGGTATATAAATAGGGAGAATAGCAGTCGCATAAAGTTTATATAAATATGGATTTCAGAGCTAACCTTATTTTGTAAATCATAATATAATCCAGAGGCAAGTCACATGGTGTTTTCTAAAGAGAAGAATCCAGAGGTCTCCATATACTATACATCATTTGGGATAACAGCGGTCACATAAGGTTGTGTAATAGAATACGAAGACCTGGGGTTCCCTGTGTTTGAACATCATTAGAGAGACCAGAGGTCTATCAATAATATATAAGTATTATATAAAAATTTATTGTGTCCTTTGGTCTCCCTAATGTTGTACCTTATGAAGGGACCTCTGGTCATATACATATATGTATGTGATTACGGAGACCCGTGGTCCCTTTAAATTTGAGTACATAATGAGACCAGAGGTACAGAGTGTATCCTTAATGATGTACATTCTAATCAAGTTTATGTAATATTTTGTCTTCCTAATAATGTACGTTATAAGCTTTAGTGGTACCCTTAGTCTCCGAATTCGTGATCTCTTGTCTCCCTTGTGACGTACAATTTTGGGGGATGGCTTAAGTGTCTGTATATATATGAATATGAAGATGACAGGTCTCACAAAATGCTAAGGTTTCTCTAAAATATGATCTCATGTAGATCATAAGAAGAGAGACCAGAAATCATATATAAATGCATATTCACGAGATGGTCCAGAGTATTCCTTAAAACCACATGCACTAGTTTCATTTCTTTTTATTTGAAGTCATATGTATCCAATTAGGTAGAAATAGTTTTAAAAATCCAAAAAATTGTTTTGATTATTTATAAAATACCACGATTTTTTTCAAGACTTTTCCAGATTTTAAAAATGCAAAATTCGGATAGCGGAGAAGGTCAAAATTTAGTAAGTTACGATCAAAACACGAAATAATGTTTGTCTTTTACAATCTTAATAGCCCAACCTAACACCATGACATCTTTTTGAAAAAAATACGCCCTTCTTCATCATAAACATATAGATTATTTGTTCAATATCCAGGAGCAGAAAAGATTTTTTTAAAAATGATTTATTTTCACTATCTAATTTTTATAGCCCTACTCTAACTCCAGAATCCCTGACTCTGGGGCAGTGGATTTCACATTTTGGTAGAAGAGTCAATGCTAATAACAATTATGATAAATCTCAAAAAATGAAAGGAAAGCGTGTGATGAATTAAGCGTAAATACAATGCACGAATATGAAATGGCTGTTAATTATATGAAAAATTACAAAAAAGCAACAATTATGCCAACAGTTTATATAATTGTTATAAGCCGAAAACTGTCCATTATGTCAGATATTAGACGATCCCAGGTACGTTAGCGCTGAGGAGAGTCTAATATCTGACATAATGGTCAGTTTGAGGCTTATAACTTACTTAAAACATTTTACCATTGTCGAACACTTCCATTGTTAACACATTAGACAGCCACAGGTAAAATCTTGTTTTGCTTGGATGACTACCTGGCACTGTTCATGAGGTTAGGCCAAAGAAAACCAGTTTTGGTTTTTTTTCTGTCTTTATTAATAGTAGGATTCATTGAGAGGTCTTTTATATTAATAAATATGAACATTAACTTTGTTTAGTCTTATTTATCCGCATTGCGACATTTTTTATTTATACTACGCATGCGTAAAAGTCAGTTCTACTAAATTCTTTACAATTTATTCATTTTACAACACAAAGACCACGGATGAAGACGTACATTTTAATTTCGAAAGAAAAAGACCTTCAGAATCGGGTATTTTGACGATGCCATTTATCGATTACACCAAGATGCCACAGTTCAGTTTTTTTTTACTGTGTAATCCGAATACATTTTTATATTCTTGTGTTTCGGAATTTGCAAAAAAAAGTTCACATTAAAAGGTTATATTTGTAAAGCAATAGTATTTGAAGGATTTTACTCAAACAACTGTTTATTAAGAATTTTTATGAAACTGGGAGGTTATTCCTTATTGTATTTTTTTGAAAATGCAATTATTTTTGTCAGCAGGTTTCGAACTCGGAAGGATTTTACTCTAGCAACTCCTTAAAACGACGGATACTCGCTTAAACGACGCAGGGCTAAGTGGACAAATGGTCATAAATCACCGGTCGAAATTACAGATTCTGTTAGAATTGTTTGAGCTCAATTTTGTGCTAAATGCTGAAAATTGGATATTTTATAAACAAAAAGCCCAAGGTTGTATGTAAGAAAACACATGCTTCTCATTCATCTTTTGTGTCGATTGGACTCTATATGTTCCGTGGATCAATCATTGTGAAATGAATCTGTTATATAGCAACGAACGGTGAATTTAGGAAAATTATGATCAGAGCCACGGATGCGTTTACAATAATAAATCTGAGACATTCAATTTACTGGATTATTTGTGCCATTTTCAATAGGATTTTATGCGAAATATTAACATTTAACGCTACTAATTTCCTACATTGTTCATATTAAAGTGTTTGATTTGTCATTGCCTTTGAAGTGGTGTTTACTTATTTGCCTCGCCCTTTATTCTCATTTTAACGTAACCTGTACCTTTCTAATAAGTTGAATCTTATTACAAATATAGATAACTTATTGGACGTTTAGAATGTCATAGTCCCTGTCCCACACCATGGGTGTAGACGGTTGAGGCAAAACTACTACAATTACTTAAAACATTTTTCCCATGGTGTGGGACAGGGACTATGACATTCTAAACGTTTTCTCCCCCTTCACCCATGGATGCTTAATGCCAATATTGGTCAAAAATAGTTGAGGGATTGCAGAGAAAAAAACTGACAATGCTCAAATGTTTACGCACAATGCAAAGAGCACGATACACGACGATGGACAAAACAGATAGCAATAACTGGGTTAACTCAGGTGATTACATAAGGCAACCTCTGGTCTCCCTATTTATTTAAAATATTTGGTGTTTTCTGGTCTCCCTATTTACTTACAAAATGAGGAGCCTTCTGGTCCCCATATTGACGTGCAATATAAGGTGACTTCTGTTTCTCCTGATGGTGTACAATATGAGGCGAACTCTAGTCCCCCTGATGATATACAATATAAGGTGTCCTTTGGTCACCCTAATATCTTTATAATATAAGGTAACCGCTGGTCCAATTCTTATGTACAGCATAAGGTTTTCTTGAGACAGGTTCTAAACATACTCTGTTGAGTAAAAAAACAAATAATGTCTCTGAATACAGTGCCTCGTCATTTAGATACATAAAATAATCTTTGACCGTTGCCCCCACACACATGCATATGTACATATAACCCTTTAAGTTTAAAACATGGTATATTTTCTATCTTTATCATTGTTGTTTATTTCCAAATGTCTCATCCATCACTTTAAAAAAAGTTTTAAAAATTCAAAAGGTTTAGCTCCCCTCACATCTGTACCACTATGTATGCACACTGTTTTGTCTCTACACACGTTTGACCATCATTGTAGTAGCTAATACATTTCTCCCAAATTCAATCGGTGGATACCAAGGATAAAGCCAGGCAGTACTTGCTTCCCAACGACCATTGAGGAAGGCGTTATGGCAGTCGTTATACCACCACCCTCCTTTATTACCACTTCCACAGTGAGCAACTGAATTGTCATTGTCTCTATCAGGAGTACTAAAGTACGCCCCAGATAGGTTTAATCGAGCACGCCCTGTATTTAACATTCTGTCACCTATCAAATTAAAGAAAACATTAATTTATTTTATTTCATGACATTTCATGTCTTTTTACATTTCAACAAAATTATTTACGAAATAATTTTAGACAGTAAGGGAGGATGTACAACCACCTGTTTTGGAGATCATGTACATGTTTTACAACGATCTATCGGAGTTCCAATGGTTACAGATTCCTCCCTTTTATCAACATACTTATCTTTATATGAAGCCGAATTTATACAAAATTTAAACACGTGAAGAAGAAATGCTTGCTTGTCGTCAACTAGACTTTTAAACTGATAAGCGACGTACGATGGATGATCAAAAAGTTAGTGAACTCATTTAATCACTCCCATAAAAGAAACAATATTTGGATTAATTTTTGTTTGTATTTAAAATTAGTCTCCTCTAATTTTAATGCATATCTGCCACCGTTGTGCACAGCGCGAATCACGTGATGTAGGTGGTAACGCGACTCCCTCCGTAGTGTTCGGTCACAAATGCCAAAAGATTTTTCAGAGTTTTATAGTTCTCTCCATGTAAGTTAATTTTTATAACAAGAACAGTTCATTTGTCAGCAATGGTCAAATCTCGGCAACAAAATGAGTGGATGAGAATATCGTTTCCAAAAATAAGCATGGCAACTAATGAAACCCAAATCTTCTGTCTCGGAGGAGACGTTTATTCAAGGTGAATAGAGAATGGTTGTCTTCTTTTTATCATATGTAATATGTTTTAAATCCAAAGTAAACAATATCTCGGTTATTTAATAATTATAATATTGTAAAAATATTCAACTATTTTCCAAAGTGTAAATTGGAAGTCTTTGATAGCAAATTGCTTAATTAAAAACACATCTTTTTTTTAAAACTTGCTTTCGCTGGGCATCTTACATGTAACAAGTATCATTTTTAACCATCTGTCTTCCTTTACTAAAACGACCAATCCAATCATTGATTGAATTTATAGGACGTCATTTGTCTTTATAAACTGTGTACAAATTATTATACACTACTTATAAGGGATTTCTAAGATATACAATAAATTTTGCAGTCCTTTTGTCCCCCCAAAACACGTTGCCATCCTGGGGTTTTTTTATTTAAGGGTAGGAAAACTTTTTTCCGGATTTTTTTTTTTTTTTTTTTTTGACGATTAAAACTTCAGACTCCTGTGATTTCCCAGAGAACATTTTCAACATTGTTGTTTATTTTTTAAAAGAAAAACAAACATTTCTTACATGGCGAATGCATAATAATATTTAAAAAAAATGAATCATAATGCTATGTGCTCATTGTACAGATAAAAAATAAATGTTGCACTTAAATATCTAATACGATATACAAATGATATTAAATTAATAAATTTAAGGCATACACTTTCATGAATTATTTTTAATTTAGTTGATGGGTTTCATTATAAAATACTGTAGAAGTACTATTTTCCGCATGGGACTAATTTACGCTATGCACGCGGGCACAAATTTTCCGAGGAAATTTGTCCAAGCGTACTTGATGTAAATCATGTGATAAATGTAAGGCATACAGTTAGAATCTAGGAAATCCGCGTAATTTTTTACATGCGTATTCAGCAGAAAATGAGATTCCGTGGAATTATGACCCCGTGGAAAAAAAATAGTACGCCTACGGTAATATAATTATTGATAGAAGAAAAGGAATACATTGTACTAAAAGAATTCACAATCAAGTCCATTATCCATTTTTCTTTGATAAAAAATACAACAGGAACCTATTGCTCGTCTTAATTAACACTTAATTAGACGTCAAGTAGAACGTTCAAATGAATTCGCAATAGTGATATCTCCTCCGAGTATGTCTTTTAAAAACATTTTCTAAAAAGGTCATATTGACTGTATCATAGCTCAAAAAAATATATTGACCAATATACGTTTTGCTTTCAATTACGTCGATCCCGTGAGAATCCAGGTTAGAATGGGTCCTTAGTACCCCCTTGCTTGTCGTAAAAGGCGACTAAATGGGGCAGTCCTTCGGATGAGACCGTATAAACCGAGGCCCCGTGTCACAGCAGATGTGGCACGGTAAAGATCCCTCCCTGCTCAAAGGCCCTGAGTGCCGAGCATAGCCCTAAATTTGCAGCCCTTCACTGGCAATGGTGACGTCTCCATATCAGTGAAATATTCTGGAGAGGGACGTTAAACAGTATACAATCAATCATTCAATTACGTTGTTTGTAAAGATACCGATGCTATACTTGTCAAAATATCTAAAGAATTTTGATAACTGAAAAAAGCACGTTAAAAAAATTATGAAAAAGAAAAAAATAAATTAGCACATGTACAATGAACTGTATATCGTATTTTCTCTCTAACACTCTATGTCCTGAGTTAGTTATCACTTACCTAATGTGCCTGTTGCGGGTCCTTCGAGATAGAGGAAGTATTTATCACTTTCATCAGCAACAGAGAACCGATAATACAATTCATACTTTGTTGAGTCATCTTCTTGAGTTATGGACACATACAGAGATGAGTCAAATCGCTTTGTCAATTGATTGATAACGTCATTTCCTGTAAAAAAGTATATTTAGAATCAATGAGAATTGTTGCAATTAAGAAGCATTTTTTCATGTTCTAAGGGACATCAAATTGTTTAAAGAATAGAAAAAAAATCAAAATTCAATATCAATATATGTGTGTGAAAATATCTCAGGTACCTGTTCTAAAAAGGAAACAGTTCTATCATATCACTTACAATAACCAAAATGATTTTTTCCTTCATCTATCTTTACTTTTATTTATTTAATATTTCTTAATAAAAATCAAATAACTATCAACATGAATTAAACTTTTTATTCAGAGAAAATAACATGTAAAATATGTCGACCTACTCAATAATTAGCTTTTGGTAATTAAATATGTAACTATGCATATGCAACATTCAGGTTTTCAGAAGTGGGTGAATTGGAGTTGATCGAAAACAAAAATTTATATCATTGCTTTTTATTTACCTATCCAGACATCTCCTGGTGGTGTTCCGAAACCGTTTTTATATTCTTCCCATGTTCTATCAAAGCTAAGGTTTTCATCTAAAGTTCTTTTCTGGATAACCTTTAAAAGACGAGCTCGGATGAATCGGTAAAAAAAACACTTACATGATAAATGACTGATGTGTTTCCTTTAAATTCTGTAAAGAAAGGAAATTTATTCAGGCACCTATGTATACGATTGATTTAAAAAAAAATTTTTTTTTTTAATTTAATATGACAGTCCAGTTCTTTAACCCACAGTGTTTCTTCAAACATCATCTTCAAAGCTAATAATAGACACAATGATATGACGAAAATTAAATTTAAATAGTTAATCTCAATTTTCTAGGAAAACAGAGCGGGTGTGACCGGTCAACAGGGGATGAACACTCCTCCACGTCATGTGATCCCACCTCTCATGTTTCGAAGGTCCGTGTTGGCTCTGCTCTTATTTTGTATTGTTTTATGGACTTTGAAATTGAGTACTGTTCGTTATCTACATATCCTTCTTGAACTTCATTGTTAGGCATTAAATAAAAATAGTTGATATTATTTTCAAGTCTTATTTTAAGATTTTTGAATAGAATATTTAATTAAAGATTCATCCTTCCTTGCCGAGGATAGGATATCTTTAAGGTCGTCCTATCATTTCTTTATATAAAATCAAAAAATATTAAATTAAATATTTTACTTCAAACTTCTAAGCACTAGATTTCTCAATGACCATTGAGTGAATTTCAATTATTTCCAGGAACGATTGTATAATATTGAAATGAAATGTTGCCTTTTTCACAAACATGAATGATGATGTGGACTTGTTAGAGAACACAGGACATATCTTGTTGATGAAGGATACAGTACCGATCATACCCAACCTGACACCCAAGCATTACCAGAAAGTAGTCCCATGGACTGCTGTAGGACCGTTCTTGGACTGCTGTAGGACTGTTCTGGAACCTCTCTAAAATGCAGACCCAACATTCCAAGCATTCCCAGAAGTCAGTCCCCGGGACTGCTTTCTGTCAATGCTTTGTTCACTCATGCGTGAAAATGGTTCTGAGTGACACTTTAGATCCACTCCTTGTGTATTCTGAATTTGTAGGCTCTTTAATGTTTCGTTTACTTTCAGCAGATAGATTTTAAAATGTTAAAAAAAACAAGAATTTCTGAAAAATTCATAATAAAAAAGGGATTGTTACATTTACATATGTCTTAATGAGTATTAAAATATGAAACTTGATGTATTCTTTAAAGAATTAAAAGAAAATTAAATATATTCAACAGGAAGTCATGAGATGATTTTCCCCCCAAAATTAAACTACAGAGTACAAAAGTATTTTCTAGGCCTTTTTAATTAAGAATTGCTTTAAAATTTTGCAGTACTCATAGTTTGCATTTGCACTTTTAAAAAAATCTTTACAGTAAGATTTAAGATTTTTTTTATTCAAGAAGGTAAAAGTACCAGTACATGTACCATGCAAAACATGGCATTGCATGCAGTCTTCAAATAAAACTAACGATTTATTCAATGACATTGAAATAAAAAAAAATACGCTATCATTCTTCTGTCACAGAAACAGTATGAACAATTATTGGGGGATTTATAAATGAATAAGTTTTCAATAATTAAAAACAAGTTAGTATAAGAGTACATTTCTTAGAAAAAAATAATATTTGGAAATATCGGTAATTTTGATTAATTTCTTGATTGTTTTGCTTGTGTTTACCTGGCCGATCAATGCGTAAAAATTGTGTTACATTTAACACCTGAGGTTTCAATCGCCTTAAGCAATGATAAGCAGACTTTCGGAACATGTTATTTGGGTATCAGTTTTACACATCACTGAACATGTCAGTCAACAATGACACGAATCTCAATCTATGAAATGTCCAAACAAATTAAACTTGCACAATAAAAAAAAATCAGAGACGCATTATTCGTGAAAAGAAAGTTGAGAAAACTTGTAGTAGCTCGAAAAAAAAAACATTCGCGAGGATGAAAAGCATCAGTGTCATGTCGATATCGATATCGTTTAAAATGACAGTAATTTTGTTAAAACAATTACAGGTGATTCAAATAGAGTACGTTCCAAATGTACAGAAAGCCCGTGGGTATACTCAGATGCAGTAAATACAGATATCATTTGAAAATTGCATTAACGATAGGGAAGGTCTGATGTTTTACACGGGACTTGGAACATTTCGAAATACTCTCCCTTGGAGCGCTCTTTGGTTGAGAAGGGAAGCTTTTTTTTTTTGCCACGTACACAGGCATGTGGAACAAATATTTAAATAAATGGATACATTGCATTATGGATATACTGTTTAATCCTAACTTAATGATATTTTAGGATGCACACCTCAACTCGAGAATAACCGAATTAATGTAAAAGCATATTTTTTTTAAAGCAGAAACATAGGAACAAAATAAAATTTTAGTGGATGTGAGACTATTCAGACAAAGAAAGAGATATTGATCTCTGTATCTACATGTAATAAATTCGGTACAAATGCATCTGATCATTGCATATTGGCAATCTAAATGACAAATTAATTCCCTTCTTTATCATAACTTCGAAAAAAAAACATTAATGTACATTTCTAGAAAAAACTTGTAGAGTCAAAAATTCAGAACTTTTTATTAAGACGCTTTCTTTCGCTTTCAAGTATCCTATAATTTAAATATATTTGTAAATATGCATAGTTGTGCTTGATAATACCATCAAATACTGGTTTATCACTGCTTAACATAATTTTCTTTCTATAACATGAAATAAATTTTAAAGGTCATCAACTTTGTTCATTTATTTATGTACGTTTGTATACAGAAACAACCTGTACAACTTCCTTACTGAAATAGATTCTTTTTGCGCCTTTATCGTAGGAGTTACAATCTTGAAACTCGTGTATTACATTTACAATAAAGTGCAAAGGAAAACCAGCTATTTCTAACTCTTATAAAATTGAGACAGCATAAAACTAACTTTGAGATAAGAACGTTTTCAGTTTTAGAAAAAACAATCGTGCAAACAAGTGTCTAACATGAATCAACTTTATGTCCAAACAATGGTTAGAAGTAAATTTTGGTCTTCCAGATTTGGTGATTTTTTTTTTTGTTAACTCCTACATGTATCTCCACAGCACGTCTCATTATCGATTGGACTAAGATTGCAATCAAGAAACCAAAGCCACTAGCTGCCCAAAAATCGACTTTCTCGACTTATAAGAATAGAAATACAAGGAACGTTCTTGTTGACTCGACACCAGGCGGTTTTGTGTATTTTTTCTCTCCAGCCATGGGAGGTTCAGCCAGTTACCGCCAACTAGTGGAAGGCAGCCCCTTGCTGAATATTTGCAAGCCTGGTGATTTCTCAATGTCAGATAAGGGTTTCAACGTACATGGTTTATTTGCCTCAAGAAATGTTTATCGGTGGGATTTATCGGTGCACAGTTTTTTTTAACTCATAAAAATCGTTACAAACAAAGATACATTGCAGGTTCCAGTAAATGTTCAACCAAGCCTCTTTCGTTACTCCTCACTACGATATTGACAGTAGTGAATGAAAACTTCAGGAGTATTGTGAAACAATATATTCAAGAAGTGATGTGAATCAGATGTGGATACTCAAAATTTCAAAGAAATTTTGGACAATTTGAAATCACAAAGATTTTACCAAAATCAACAGATAAAAAACTTACGACTTTTCAACTATATAAACAATTCCCCACGATAAATTAAAGTCAAGGGTTTTTGATATCATTGACAGCTGCTTTTTTGATAAAAATGAAACTCGTAAACTGACTTACCTGGTAATTGTTCATTTATCAAATTATTTTGTTAAAACACATTCTGATTTCACACACTAGTACTTTGAAGTTAACATCAAAGAGATGCTTGAGTTTCTGTTTTACAATTTCTATGTGGTTTTTGGAGACCAGGTATTCAAACAATCTATTGGAATTCCAATGGGTACCAATTGTGCTCCATTATAAGTTGACCTGTTTTTATATTCACCAGCAAAACTTAAGTTATGTCCAAGACACGATGTAGTTACGATATCAACACATTCCTTTTTTATAGTTTTCTATTATATTTCTCTATTCTCGTGTGTTTATTACAATACTTTTTAGTTTTTAGACTATTCCCTTACTGTCAATATCCTCGATATCGTGCCGATATCGAATCATCGTTGTTCCAAAAATTGTGGTTTCAATCTTTAATATTGTGTTTTGAACAACTGTTACTTAAAACTTTCTTTATAAATTTTTCCCTGAAGTGTCGATATCGTCGATATCGACGATATCTTTTCTATCGAACTTCCCTTATTTACCCAGCCCTTGGTAAATACCTTCCCTGTTACTTTGAATGTGTTTATGTTTAATTATTTTACTTTTACGAAGATTTTACCTGCCATCGATATCAATTTCTAAATCGAGGTATATTGTTGACGATATCGAATCATGACTGTTAAAAGCATATTACTTTACCAACCTTCACCGTAAATGCAAAAACTTTATTTTTACAACACTTCTGTTTAATAAGTTTACCTTACTGTCCATATCGACGATATCGTATCGATATCGAATCATCATTGTTTAAACATTTTCAAGAATTGTCAGCAGGGGATGCTCACTCCTCCATGGCACTTAATCCCTCATCTGATGTATTGGAGATCCGTGTTTGCTCTGATCTTATTTTGTATTGTTTTATAGACTTTGAGATTAAATACTGTTCGTTCTTTTCATATCTTTCTTTATGTATTTTTGAATAAAACATTCAGTATACTATAAAACATACTGAATGTTTAAGAGGGTAAGATTGAAAATTTTCACATCTCGAGATGTTTAATCAACCGTCTCTACGCCGCAAGTTTTAGTGTGAAAACTACCCTCAAGTACATGACTTTGTACGTTCAGTATTAGATATTGCATGTAGTTGAGGGTGCTTCGGTTGACAATGATTTTTGATTGTCAATATATATATTGTGTATATTCAGAAGAAATTTCTAAAATTACAAGCAACAAATTAACTACTCACTGTCCAGCCCCCACCCTGTATTTCCATGTCACAAAGGGCGCTGACGGGACTTGAAATGGTGCCATAAGGATAAATTGTGTACACGTCTGATTGATCCTTCCCATTGTCGAGGAGATCCTTACAATCCACAGGAAGAACTGCCAATAAAAGAAAAAATTGCAGGTATTACACATTTTAACATAGAAAAAATCAAAGCATAAAGATCTTCAAAGGGACTAGGTAGGGCATGAGGGAAGAATACTAGTATTTTCGCATTAAATATCGCAATTTAAATGGAATGTTTATATAATTGTGCTGTGGAATATCAAAATATATCCAATGAGTTAGGGACAGGATAGTGGGGTTAAGATAGGATAAATGAAATTATTTGATGTGCACTCATTCATATCTTAGTTGTAAACATTTTATATTACATAAATAGCCTCCTCTGCAATTAACATAAAGCATAATTACTAAGTAGTTACCCAACCATAGGCCACTTTAAAAATTTAATTTCAAGCCCTTAATTACACATTAAGCACACATTTTGAATATTTTTTTTTCATCTGTTTATATGATTACACAATCAGTACGTACTGGTTCCTGCCGACGAAGCAGGTAACAAGATTGTCTTTGTTTGTAAGGCTTATTATATAAATTGCATTCTAGAAGAATTTGGACTTAATTCTACAAGTGGTAATCCTACTTGTACTCATACTTCCCTTTCTAAGGAAGAAATTCTTCAAAATCATCTGTCAGTTTTGAATACTTTTATATATATATTTAATATTTAATATTCCACGGAGCCAAAATGAATTTGAACTACATTATATATATTGGATTCCGAAACTTCATAAGAATCCTTACAAAAAAAAGATACATTGCTGGTTCCAGTAAATGTTCAACCAAGTCTATTTCGTTACTCCTCACTAAGATATTGAGACTAGTGAAGGAAAAACTTCAAGAATACTGT